AAAATTTGCCACAAGTTTTGTACACTCTTTTTTTATGGCGGGAGTGCGGGAAATTAGTCTCTACATTTTCAATCATTTAATGCATGTGCTGTGTATGTTAACAGTTTGACTTTCGTATCGAGATTCTTATAAAAGTGTAGCTGGATGTCAAAGTGTATATTTACAGACCGTTTACTGTCCCCCATTCATAGAAAGCTCAGCGCTACACAATCTTACCAAACAACCTAATCAAGTGAGGTTTTGAAGCTGATAGTGTCTGCACTGTGACTGCCTGCACGTTAACGTGAATCTATACAGTTTAGTCTTGTACGCGTTTGCTGTTTAGTCTGTAATAAGACTTCAATTTGCTTACAATAGCAGATCTTCCCAATTGGTTACCCACATAAGAATTGATCACTCATGCTTGCTTAACTTTAGTGATCAATCGGAAAAAATTGTTTTCGGCCGATATTTGTTCGTAGGCTCATATGTATTTAATGTGTGAGGGGAAAGAAAAATGAAAGGGGACAAAAAGAAAAACAGGATGAAAAAGAAATGATAAAGAGAAAACAAAGGACAAATAAGGCGGTGTGGAGAAAAGAGTGCAAAAGAAAGAGCAAGAATTAAATATAAAATCATAGACTTCTGTTTGTTTGTGTATATATATATATATATATATATATATATATATATATATACACATACATATAATGTGTGTGTTATTCTATATAATACAAGATCATGTGACATACATATTTCAACATTTTTAATAGATATCATTATTAAGTTAGCATTGTATTTTTATACATGACAGATGTTTTACAAAATAAATCTTAGTGGAATTTACCTGTTGCGTGCCTTATCATTTACTTCGAAATGACTACGTCAATCCTCATTTGGAGAACTGAGGCTAACAGTTTTAGTTTATGACATAGACACGTATCACAGAAGATTAATTTTTGAAAGCTAAATCACATACACGATATTTATTCCTGCTATCTACAGAAATTGTGGCACATGTCCGAACACACACACACACACACACACACAGCGATAGGTAAATTGTCGCCATTTCATATTAATTTCGCGAATACGCCTTGTTTGTTTTCTGACTTTGTCGACTGCAGTAGGATCAGTTGGGCACCTACTGAGAGAAAAAGAGCACCATAAAGCAATTCAATCCGCCGGACATTTTCAAACGACATGCTGTAACTGTAATGCTAGTCATTCGCGCGGGAAGCTCCAACATGAACATTTCAGAGTGTTTTGGTATCAAACTTCGGACAGTGCATCGGATTCGGAAAGAGTTGGATGAGTCTAATGGTGAGTACGAAGGTACGACATCTCACTCAAATCGTTCTGATAAAAAGGAACTCTCGAATCTGTTGGCGAAGTTCAGACTCAACACGGAGATCTACATTAAGGAGGTAGTGCTGCCCTGAATCAAGAGGGTGACTGCTGGAAGACCCTGTATCTAGCAACAGAATTCTAAACCATGCCACACAAGCAGGAGAACCCTGTCATGACTGTCAGACAATTTCTATGACCACATCACCCCTTACATCTCGCCACCTAACTCCCCAGACTACAACCCCCTTGGTTATTGTGTGGAGCACAGTTGAGCGAGAGACCAATAAAACTCTTTGTGACACCAAAGCTGAACAAAGCAAGAATTATGGCAGCATTCACCAACTTCAGCGTCCAGAAGATTTACAGGAAATCCCGAGGTCGTATGGAGATCGTGGTTGAAGCCAATGGCAATTTTATTGAATGAATTTATTCTTTATTATTTCAAGATATGTTGATATAATTTTGGTAAATACATCTGTTAAAATGAAATGTCAATGCTGCTTTCATTTTTCGCACCCTGTAAATACACACAATATAATGATTTAAGTTTAACATTTGTTTTTTGTATACTCTTTACGATTTTTTATCTAATGCACACACACGTGTATATATATATATATATATATATATATATATATATATATATATATATATATATATACACACATCTAGTTAAACCTAGAAAGCTAAACAAACCTACCAAGGTTTCACCTAAGCGGATCGTCAGGCAAAAGGTGGCACGTATGCGTGACGATTATTTTCGGTTAACGTACATGTTCTTGGTTCTTTCTTTTTTTATATACTTTTTCCCCCTTTGGTATTGGCTTGTTTATTTGCAAATCGACACACGAACGAGTATATTTTCTTATACTTATAAGGTCTCTATTAATAATATATATATATATATATATATATATATAAGAGAGGAAGACTATATTTGTTCCAACGAGAGAAAAGTGTATATTTTAAAGAGAAAGACGCCCCAAATGTGGATTTATTTATATATATATATATATATATATACATTTCATTTTCTATATTTTCGGGCCTTGTGACCTTCATGAAGCGAAGAATGGTTATTTCCACATATTATTTAAAGAAATTGTTTTTTTTATGTTGATTTTATTTTTTAACCATTGTCTTTTGTGTGTAGTAGTAATCCCAAATCATCTTGTATTGATGGAAGACTGTCCCTTTGCTTAATACTGGTCAGTGAAAAGGAGGGTGAGGTTTTGTTCTTTTTATGTCCTGTGAATATTTTTAGACATTCCTCTATTCTTGAGCGTGTGTGTGTGTGTGTGTATGTATTTTTTTTTGTTTGCTAGTGCGTGTGTGTAAGAATATATATATATATATATATATATATATATATATATATATATGTGAAGAAATCTGTACAGTAACTACATGTTTTGTATGGTGTGACTGCTCCATTTACATAACGCCACAGACATGAACGCACACCATATACACATAGTGGCAAAACACACTAGACGGAGTACACACACCATACAAAATACATGTAGTTACTATAGATTTCTTCATAATATATATGAAGTGTGTGTGTGTATATATATATATATATATATATATATATAATATATATACACATACTAGCTAAACAAAAGCTCTAGACAGAGCACACGAACCTAACATGCATGCAATACACAAGAATTGAGGAAGGTCTAAAAAGACTTACAGGACATTAAAAGATAATCCCTTCCCCTTTCTCTGGCCAATCCTAATGGTTTTATTATTATACTTTTCCGCCAGTCCAAGATGATTCGGGATTACTACTACACACAAGACAATGGGTAAAAAAATCAACATAAAAAAATAATTCTTTAATATGTGGAAATAACCATTCTTCTTCGACTGAGGAAGATCCAATACCTGAAACTTGTGTAGCAAAAATATAGAAAATATAATATATTCAAAAATCCACATTATAACCAAAACCATTTGCAGCGTCCTCTCTCTTTAATATGTGTGTGTGTGTGTGTGTGGTCGGGGGTCGGGATCCCTTCTTGTTTCGCCGACAATTTGTCTGTACTTTATCGTATACAGAAAAGTTTTAAGATTTGTATTGCCTGAAAATGAAATGTGTGATTATAGCATTAAATCCTAAATAAATTTATATAAACCCGTTTTCTTCGTCCATCATCACATCTTTAATAAACACAAAGTTAAGTTCAGATATCATAATACATAAGATTGAAATACAAGCAATTTGGGGAACGAATTATGCATTAACCTTGTAAATACATGATCCATATATTAAAGCACCAGAAAGAGACTAACGTATGTATATTTATTTATCTTTATTTTTATATGAGAGAGACCGTGGGACATAGGAGCGAATACTGCATTTTAACTGTCAATTTCACGCCTCGGTACTATCTTCAGGCCAAATCTGAACAATAACTTAACATATATGTAATATGAGTGCTGGTGTTAATAAACAGTGTTCGTTGTATAATAAAAGCTAAAAATTATACTAATAGTACATATTTTGTTCCTCGCCGTTAGCTCAAACTCCGAGATCCGCCTCTTTTCTCCTGCCAGCTAAGGGTTAATTAGTAAGACTTGCCATCATGAAATCATTATCTCCCTCCCCCACACCTCAAAAGATTTTCTTACAATCTAAAAATATTTTCTGACATTAAATAATCTGCAGAGGGTTGGTAAACCGTCGAAAACGAATCAATAAAATCGACAAATGCAGCTTAATTACGTGCCAAGGCGTCTGATTAATGATGTGCCCTCGTTTTACTGTGGGTTTCGTGATTTTTAAACATCCTGCTCGCTCCGATAGTAACCTGATCTGCTTCTGAAGATAGCAGATTCGCACCACAGTCGCAACTAGTTTTTTTTTTTTTTTGAAACACTATAATGCGTGTTGAAATCCTTACAGTATTTAGTATTGAAGTTGTTGCTAACATTTTTGTCTAGATTTATAAACTCTACAAAGGGAACGGGGATCGAGACGGACAGACGCTATCGAGAGAGAAATAAAGATGACCGATAGATTTCTGTATGAACTTGACCGTGAAAGTAGCCCCCAACTCAGTTTCCAAAGTCCCCTTTTTAAAGGAGCATTTCGAAATGTTTTTGTGGTAAATAGATTTTCTACTCTTTCTGACAAAGAATATTACCGCCCATTTACGAAAGATAAGTTACGGTTTAAGAACTGATATTTTATTACGACACTACTTAAATCGCTTTCAGCAAAGTAGATATAGATTTGGAGTGCCAGCTTGTTAATAGTTGCTGTACATATGTACGAGATACCACCCAACATTATTGGTAATTTTATCAATGAAATCTTGCCCTCTTTAAAATCATATTTCTTAGCGTCAACTTTAAAGAAAATACTTCGAAGGAGACACTGGAAACTACGTTTTGATTAATGTCCGCCTAGACAAAAAGAAATTTAATTTGTTTGGCCCTTGTTGTTCAGATTCCCCCGATTTTGGGATAACGCGCGCGCGCTTACACACACACACACACACTCTCTCTCTCTTCTCTATCATGCCACTATATATATATATATATATATATATATATATATATATATTGAGTGTAAACTCCATATTTTTGTGAACGTGAACTGAGTGGAATGCCACCTCGTTTTATTGAATTAAAATTTCGATTCATGAACGTTAGTGAGCATGCTTTCTCTCGTGAATAAATTAACTCACTTCTGCTGCAACAACAACAACCGCTTTCTTTGCGTGGGTGGTATGATCAGACTCTTATCATCAGTGCGTGCGTGTTAAAAGACTGCCTACTATTTTCCGCTATAAACCAATATCTTTAGTTAGTACTCACGTAGTGAACAAGTACTAATTATATATATATATATATATATATATATATATATATATATTCATTCTGGTTTCTCTCATGTCAAAATAACTTTAGAAATCTAACAAATGTTTATTACTTTCTTCCTTTATTTCTGAAATAACAGATTTTTGACACATTGTAGGGAAATTCGCTGACGTCACTGAAAAGACACGAGTTTAATACACGTTTCAGGGTCAGCGAAGGGCAGCTTGAAGAGATTAAAGGCAGAAGCACACGAGACGTCGTGTGTAAGAGAGCAAACGCATTTTTCGATATTTAAAAAAAAAAAACAAATAGACAACCACGGACGGCCGGAAATACGGTGGACTAAACGTTGTAATAAAAAATATTAAAATAAGTATTAGAGGATGACCTCTCAATTGGCCGGAAATATTTCCCGTGCCTTGAACCTTGGAGACGTTTTCTGAAAGACCGCTTCTTTTGGCTATCTTCACTATATTCGTCCTGTTTGCTTTTTTTTTTTTTTTTTTTTTTTGCTATACTGATCACGAGAAATGAAAGAATTCAACGTTAAAAACATCGCACAAACATATAATAGTACCAAACTTAGTAGAAACAACATTAAAATTATCTTACTCTAATCAGATGTACTCTGGCAACAAACAAAATGAAACATCTATAAAAAAAAAAAAATCATCTGTTGATACATAAATTCTACATCTACGATTCATTATCGATCATAAAGTTTAAAACGCTTAAACCAGTAATCACTCATAAAATACTTATAAAATCATTTCTTCTGTATACGACCCTTATAGATTACATATCCACTTTCCCTGAGGGAGCTTTCTCTGAAAACACCATATTGAATATACAATTACAACCATTTCTCGTAGGCTAATTGATCATAATCCTGATTAAAGTACTATATGGCAAGACATGATATAGAAACATAAAAATGACAAACTATAAACAAAAATAGTAAATTTTACTTAAAGCGATGACTCGTGAATTTGGTGACATTAATTTTGAGTTCAATTCCTGGCCCAGGTAGAACAGACCTTCATTCAGTCGGAAAAAAGTGTACAATAATTGAGCAGTATTAAATAAGAACAAGACGAAATATCTCGGGAAATTGATAATCTACGCCTGAAGATTAAATAACGTGATCAATCCCATATCCCTGATAGACAAACTTCTAAAGAAGGTCGGAAGGTATAACTGCCGAAATGTTTTGATATTAACAATGATGGTGATATTAGTCCGACTAAAAATAACTCCTCATCTCAGTAATTCAAACGACAGAAAATATTGCAAATTTTAAAAGTTCCCCAAACAACCAACAATCAAAAACCTTTATGATTCTGAAATACACGTTCTAAAATGTATTTAAGTTTTCACGCTATTTTGACTTTTTTGTCATGTTCTTTCAGAACGTGCGCAATCATGGCTCTTCGCAACTTCCTATCCTTTGTATTCCCATTTTTATCACCTGCCTAACAGGGTGCGACAAAAATGCCTCCTGTACATCTACATAATTGTAAGACATTAGACCACAGGGTACGTCTGAAATATATCCCACATTTTTTAAACTATCTCTATGGTGCTATTGAACTTAAGCAAGTTGCAAAAGTGTCTTCATCGAGCTAATATCTTGCCATTATGTGGGAGGTATTTCAGCCGCATCCTCTATTTAAGGAACAGTTACTTAAGATGATAAATTCGCCATTACGATTGGTTTGATTATCAGGCTTACGTTCCTGGGGGTAGACCACCACTTAAATAAAACAGATGGCCAAATGGAATAAACTTAATTGACTAAAATAGTGATGCAATTTTATTTCAATATTTTGACAAGTCCCACTCGGCCTTTATTGAACAATTGGATCACAATAATTCAACCATTGTTACTTTATCTACCATAAACTGTGATTAGATTGAATATAATTGCTTATTGAAGGCGGAAAGAGAAATCTAGCACGGTAAGAGGCGAGGTTATCTTATGCAAAATACGTGTTATACTTAGGCTTTCTTTGTATTCAATCTTCGCCATTGTAATTATCAGCACCGTACGTGTTTTTATCAATTCCATTTAGTTAACAGTTTTATTCAAGTAGTTATCTTCCAAAAGTGTCAAGCTCAATTGGTTTCCAACAACGGAAATGACTTAGGACGCATACCTAATATTCAATAAAAATAATACTGACATTTTCTTTTGCCATATTCTTATACGATTATTATTCATTTACAAATAATTTAATCAGTTTATTGAACAATAATGAACATTGAAATAAGGTTCTTTCTTTTTAATTCTCTCTACTGCTGTATCACTGCCAAAATTTCGTTCACTTAAGCAAATTGCTTATTTGGCAGAAGTTCCTTAGCGGCCAAACCTTTTCAAAAATAGACCAGCCCTGCAGTAGAAAGCAACTCGTTTTATAGGTCAGAATCGTGTACTTTAAAGTCGACCAATCAGAAAACGAATTTACAAATTCGAACATTGTTGAAGTGCCAAACACATTCCATGAAATCTAGTTGGTCAATTACTGCTTTTGCTCGTACTATCAGATTCCCCGGATAAAAGATGATTCTCCCAAACAATAATTAAGGCTTCACCCATTGAAATCTACCAATGTTTGCTCTATATAATTAAAACTAATTTATCGTAATCACTACCTTTCGCCATTGTGGATCAGGCATTTTCTATACTTAGTGAAATAGAAACAAAACATATTTTAACATTAAAATATAGATTTAAACCAAAAAACTTAAATCCAATATAAAAGAGTGTAAGATTTCTCTCTGGTGAGTGAAATGCTAAAGAAATTTTCAGAAATAAATATAACTATTTTTTTATGTCGAATTCAGATCATTTAAAATTACGAAGGATGCTTCTCATGAGAAAAACATTGTGTGTGTGGAGATGACAGTGGAAAAGCTATAAACGACGCGTTTCACAGACGTCAATTCAGAGTGAAAGACAAAACTGTGTAAGGAAAATACGTAGGGATTTTGGGGAATAAGAAGAGCCATAAATTACCTTATCAGATCCGACGACCAGAAAAAAAAATACATTGAGAGTGCGCTAATCTCAAAATTCTCGACAATAAACAATTTCTTTCGGATATTATTATTATACATCCTGTAATAACACGTGTGCGCGCGGGTTTTTTTTTCTCTCTCTCTCTCTCTCTCTCTCTCTCTCTTTTCTTCTCTCTCTCTCTCTCTCTCTCTCTCTCTCTCTCTCTCTCTCTCTCTCTCTCTCTCTCTCCCCCCCCCGGGTGTACATGGCTGCAATTGTATATGCGCCCTCGCTTACATGAAACATCCATTGGTATACTAAGCTACTCTTCCCCCTCATCTATTTTACAATTATGTCCTTGCAAGTGTTTAATTGTTCTTAATAAAGAAATTCCATCCTCGGTGCCAAATTGTTTCAATGTTTTACATATTCAGTAAATTTCCTATGGCCGTAATAATTTTCAAATAGTATGGCATTGTTCCCAAATCTAATAATCAAACAAAAACAGGGATCAAGCATCAGAGCTTGATTCAAGTGCAAATATTGCAAAGCTGGTATCAATAAGAGGTTCTTTGGAAATTTTCTCTTTTAACGCTTCAATAATCCTTCTCAAACAATTTTTGCATCAAAGTTTGTTCGAATGCCAATTTAGGATGGCATCATATGAATAAACTATTAGATAATTGCCAAAAACCGCCAACATGTTGATTATATATTTTTCTCTTCTAGTTAGATATGCATCCGTTTTTATCTGTTGCTGTTGTTGAAAATAATGTTTTTATTTATTATTTTACTACGGTTCTTTGCTTATAGGCCATGAGACTCGAAGAATGATGTTTCTCGCTAAGGCCGACAGGTTTCATTCGCTCAAAGCCGCTTTTATTCATCGATCTGAGAAAACAGTTTAATAGAGATGACAGTTTAAATAATTCTGAAAGACTTTGGCGACATCCATATAAAAGTTTCGATCTAACGAGACCATTTAAGAGCTTGACTTGAATTTATCTGATCACATCGTCTATAAATAAAATATTCTTTTTACAATAAAACAACATAATAAACACGTTTGGAGCCGCAACAATACCACCTTTTGTTACTGTAACCAGATGCATTCAAATTACATAAAAGACGAAAAGCAAAAATATATAATCCATACGTATAGAACTGTTGCATATATTAAAAATCACCTGAGATTCAGCATAAACTCTAAAAAATTCCAAACTCAACTCCTTGTTACTAATAATACAAGGCTATTATGTTTTTTTATTATCAACAAGTAATTTATGGATGGAGTTTGTTAAACCGTTTCTTTCTAATACATGGCACACAGACATCCTGACGATTTGAAAGAAATAATTATGATATATGATTTGCTTTTTACGGGTTTATCAACCATTTGATAATTGGATTTAAGGCCAAAAATCTTTAGTTTTTAAGTGCAATTCTTTCTTTTGCATTCAAGCGATTTGGGAGAAAGAAAATGAAAACGAAGAAGAAAGAAAAATAATACAGAAAACGGGTTATAGGCGAACACATTTCCACGGGGCTTAGAGACGGAAATGGAGGAAAAAAAGGTTATAATTGATAGGTATCAGATGTGAAAATATCTGGGTCACCTACGAACAAGCATTGACCGATTTCCTCTTGTTATTAAAAATGGGATTTTGTTATCAATGGATGTCCAAAGAAAAAAACCATTGTTGAAAATTGACGAAACACAGTCTTCCCTGGGTAAAGAATAAAAATCATTTTACAAAAGTTTTAACTGGCTAAGTTTTTTTTTTTTTTTCTTTTGATAATAAACTTTTGCCCTGTGATAATAAAATTTTGTTATCAACACATGGGCCGAAAGGAAAATGAAATATTTTTTTTTGCTTTAGAGACGCCAGGTAGGCTAGGAAAATTTCTTTCTTAGATCATGTCAAAATTAGCGATAAACAGCTTGACAAACACCACGTATTAAAACCAAAGGTGTCATCTCGGCCGCTCATGATAATGGGCGATTTAATTTGATTTTTTTTAGTTATTTGGGTATTTCTATCCCAAAAATAAAGCCTTGTTACAGGTCCGCTATAGACGTCATTGACCAAAGTGGATCACGGTATGTTTGAAAGGAGGAGGAAAGATGCCCGACCAGGACCTCATTATTTGAGAGCGGTCACGTGACGCATTTCTTTCCGGGTCGACGCTCTATCCAGATGTAAGTAACGAGAAGCCGATACGAAGAAGTTTTCCAGTTGTGCACGCCCTCAAAAACACAAACATATTGGAGTGAGAAGGTTAAAAAAAATGGAAAAAAGTGGAAAATCCTAACCAGAAAGAAGATTGGATACGTATTTAGAATTATCGAAGAACCCCAGGCGCCGACAGACCCACCCAGTTTGACAGCGTCAATAAAGCGAAGACCCACCAGACAGAAATTGTTGAGTTCCCGGACGGCAGGCATTTTGAGCCCGGACGGCCGGTTCGTTCGCCCCTAGCGGGCAGAAGAGGCCAGTTAGTTTGGCCCTGATTGCGGAGAAGTTCGTTCGACCCAAGCTGGCGAGAAGAAAAAAGTTCGCGCACCGGCTGAGAGATGACAATAAAAGTAATTCAGACTCTGGAAGAAGTTTGAGTTCATGGCGGAAAAAGATGACCCACGAAATTCGACCTGGAGAGATGTTGATGCCCCGGACTATTAAATGGATGAGTGCCCAGTGTTGAAACCCATCAAGATACCTGACCAGATTCATGCGCACTTTTGGACTCTTCTTCAACCAGAACAAGTGGTTTGAAGACGATTCCAGGACCAGACACAGAAATAAGTTTTCGACTTCCGTCCAAAAAGACACACCGAAACACAAATTTCTTAGATAGCAGACAACTTGAAGCGTTAAAGTTTGCCTAGCGAAAAAGCGTCGTGCCAACAATCCACAGAACGGGTCGGGGAAGTAGACATAGTCCTATGTACCAAACAAATAGACATAAAAAAGTTTGTTACCTTTTTCTTTGATACTTTGAACTTTTTGAGTTTTCATTTTATTTTATTTTATACATATTTGTGTGTTATCACCCCGTTGAACTCAGCTTGCATTACGGCTAACCCTGTTTGATCTTGTCTGTCTAAGATCAATTCACAACGTGGGTAGGCAGACTGGAGATCAGTGCAGTTACCCTGGTAACCAGGCGTTGGAAGCAGGTTGGGAAAGGCGGGCTGGTATCAATCTAACCAGATTCTACCCGAATCCCCAAAGGGTTAGAACGTCACGTTTGGAGCAGCGACACCCGGACAGGCGGCGAGGAGCGAAAGCTGACGCCGCGGCGAAGACGTCAATAACTCGTGCTGTTTAGGGACGTCACAACTGGCGCCGTGGTAGATCAGGATAGAACGTCACAGTCGGCGCTGCGACCGGGGAAGACGTCACACTAAGGTAACCAATAGTAACACAGATAACAAAAATATTAAGTTTTTCTATAAAATTCAAATGCACGGTTACTATAAGAATCAATCTTTTCTTAGAAACATTATAAAGAAATATGCAACAAAAATCGACAAAAACAAGGAAATTAAATTATCTACTATAAAAAAATCTAAAACTGCTAACTTTATCGTCAACAATAACTCGCCTGTAATATCCAAATTACAGATTTAATATTAAGAATTCACTTGTCGCTTAACGAACTGTGTTCCTGACCAATCCAAATTCGTAAATAATTATATTGGATATACTACAACATGCCTAACAAGAAGACTCGCGTTGCATCTTTCTGACCATAGCTCCATTAGGTCTCATTTAAATATAAACGGAGACCAACCAAATTCTATCTAGAATATTCACGTTGATAATACAAATATAATAGCCTCATCCATATGTAAAAAAAGGCTAAAAATAATGGAAGCATTATTAATTTTAAAAAAAGCCAACACTCAGTAACATCAACTATGAACACGGCAACAATATGCTATATTTGAAAAATCAAACATTCTTATAAACTCTAGATACATACATTAAAGAAAACCTACATTCAGTTAAAAGTAAAAAGAAAATCATCCTTGATAATGGCCGAAAGCGCTTGAACGTACAGAAAAGTCGGACAATTTCTACATAATTTATGTCCAGAAAAGAAGAAAATTATAAGAAAACAAAGAATTAAATAAAAACAAACTTAAGCGCAGTAACTTGTCAGTTATTTTTAATGAAAACTTTATCAGAGATACTGCTGACCAAATATATATATATATATATATATATATATATATATAATATACTCGACTCTCCTGTCAAATTCAATCAGTTCCTAGGAACCGACAGCCCAAAACCATCCACACTTTTTGAAGGGCTGAATACAGAGACCTGGTGCACAACGTACCACAGGGTCCCCAAACGACCCTCTGCAGGTTTTGAATTTAGGGTTGTCCTTCTCCTAGACCAGTTGCCAACCAAGGCTATAGAACCCAATCTGTCCTATTTACCTATATCTGGAGGGAGAAAAAGAGGATTTATTACTTTCCCAAGGATATTAGCAAGCGAATGTAAAGGATTCGACTGGAATTCGAAAGCGGCTCTCCGATTCCGCTATCCACTACTCCACTTATATATATATATCTCAATAAGAGAGGGTTCCATTTGAATATTTGATAAAAGGAATGAATGTAGTAAATATGTGTCGGGCGGATTTTTCTCCAAAAGAAGAATAAACCTTCTCTATTTGAAATTCGAAAAGAATGATATGAATAGACTGAAATTGAGTGCTAGAGAAAGTTTTGCGCGATATTTTCCCTCGAGTTGGCAGCGTACTTGAAAACGTGGACCGAGAGTAAGGTCAAATCGGGGGAAGTGGACATCTTAAGGCTCGTTTTCATGACGAGATAAGGCAATTTCGCTCACTCCGATCTACAATTACTTCTTCAAGAAGAGAGAAAACAACCTCGTTCGAGGCAATTAACGTCTATCCAATGAATACTTATAGCTTGATTATGGTAACGAACTTTAATTAACGCTTTTTTACTGACAAATGACGACATTCACATTTGCGGAGAACCTAAAAGCAAGTTTGCATAAAGCTATTCCGTTTGGATGTTTTGATGTTACCCTGTTTGTGGATAGAATCTCAAGTAATTCTGGATAGGCAACTGAGCGCAAATAATTTTGTGCCTGAATACAGACATGTACGATTAGGCGTGGCTATTAATATTTTAAGTTCTTTTTTCTGGTCAAATCTTTCGTTTCGTAAAATCAATTATTTACAAGTGTGTGCAGATATACGGTGCGATGGGTAAATTTTCGCTATTTTATATTTTTAATTTCCGCAGATACCTTGTTTTTTTTTTTTTGTTTTTTTTTTTTATTTTGTCGACTGCTCAGTATAGCAGAGTCAGTTGTGCACCGTCTGCAAGAAAAAGAGCACCATGATGCAATTCATTCCGCCAGAAATTTGGAAACGGCATACTTGTCATTCGCACCGGAAGCTCCAATACGAACTTTCAGAATGTTTGGTTGTGAATCTGCAGAGAATTTTGAAAGTGTTGGATGAGACTAATATTGATTACAAAGGCATTTGGAGTGATGGAGACGTTATGCCTCCACGCGTCTTCCCACAGGACATCAGATTCAACTCAGAGGCCTACATCAAGTGCCTTGAGTAGATAGAGCTACCCTGGGTCAAGAGGGTGGCTGCTGTATGACCTTATGTCTGGCAACAGGACGCTGCATCATGCCACACAAGCAGGAGAAGCCAGTCATGGCTATCAGACAATTTTTGTTGACCACATCACCCCCCTTATATCTGGCAACGTAACACCCTAGTCTGCACCACCCCCTGATAATTATGTGTGAAGCGCAGTTGAGCGAGAAACCAACAAAAGTCTTTGTAACACCAAAGATGGACTGAAGGCCAGAATTATGGCAGTATTCACCAACTTAATGAAGGAGACCATCCAGAAGAGTTGCAGGAGATTCCGAAGTCGTCTGGAGACCGTAGTTGAAGCCAATGACAATTTTATTGAATAAATTTACTCTTTGCTATCTCAAGATATTTTTGTGTAATTTTGGTAAATATATCTGTTAAAATGGGATGTCCCAGATATCCCCTAATTTCTCACTAATGTCTTTCCCAAAGATATTAGTGAGAAAGTGAATGCAACAGATTAGCCCGGAATTTGAACTCCGTTCGTCGATCCACCCCGTACATCCTAAGCTTAGATCATTAAATAACATGGCATGTCTAGAGCAATGGCTATTAATGTAGTTACTGCTGTAGCGGATTTTACTCTCACCGAATGCCCCATACGCTTGGCCTTCTGCCACACTGAGCCATGCTTAATAAAGAGTTATTTTTGATCTTTACATTTTCCTTCCTTTTTAACTTCTGTTTTTTGTTGTTTTGTTGTGTTTTTGTTCTTTTTCTTAACCTTTTATCACAATCATTCGTGTTTATCATCTTTTTTTTTTCTTTGCGCAGCTTGTATTTTTAATGTCTTGCTTTTTGCCTTTAATTATCTCCCCTTGTTATCTATTTCTTTCCATTCTCTTCACTCTCTCCTTTTTCTTTCCTCTCGCTTTCTTCGCATCACACTATTTTCTTTTCTCGCAATCAGTCAATTTCCTTTCAGCTTTAACTATCTTTCTCCTCGCTATTTCTCTCAGCTCATACGCCACCGAACACATGTTAATCAACTTCCTTCCTTATCATTCAGCTTCTTATTTGTTTATTTTGTATATTTCCCGGCATTTTCTTGTATGGATTTGTTTTTTGTTTTCGTTTTTTTTTTTTTTATCATTGCTCCTACGTCATCTTGATCGACCATTGAATTTATTTCATGCATCGAAATAATATTTATAACATAACAATAAAATCTATAAAGAAACACTTTGTCAACAAATTATATAGCACTAAAATCTCCTCAAAGTATGTCTTCTATGCATTAAACGTACTTAACTGATCTCAATTAGAAACTAATACCTTTCGTAAAAAATAATAGATAAAAGACGAAATAGAATAAACGTCAAATCCCAGCAGAACTTTATTCAGAAGAGACTAAGGATTAATTTAAAAGCAAAAAGATAAGATATGATAAAGTCGAGGTATCGAAACGTTTCAAAAGACTAATTTAGAGATAAATCCGTTGAAATAGTAAACTACAATATGATTTTTTTTTTTTTTTTTTTTTCTTTTTTTTTTCAGCTTTCATTTTACCTAAACTTTCATTTTCTTCTTTCTGCTTCTCTTTCGGTCTCGTATTCTCATTCTCTTTTTTTTTTTTTTTTTTTTTTTTGGGGGGGCTTCTATTTATTATTTTCTTTCTTTACTTAGTGCTTTTTCTTTCTTTCAAAGTTTTTTTTTCCTGCATATTTCTTTCCCCTACGGTCTCTTTATTTTATTTTGTTTTGTTTTCCTAACTAATTGGTTAATTATTTCAAATTCTTAATCCCCTTTTTCTTTTGTTCTTTTTTTTACACAATCATTATTTATATATTTTGTTTCTTTGCCGAGTTTTATTCCCCAACTACGTAATCCTCATCTTTCTTTCACTCTCCTCCTCTCACTGTATCCTACTACTAACACTCTCCTTCTTTTTTCTCCCCTCCCTCTTTTTCTCTCTCGCTCTTCTTCTTTCGCATTCTTTTCCTTCTTCTTCTTTTCCTTCTTCTTCTTCTTTTCCTTCTTCTTCTTCTTTTCCTTCTTCTTCTTTTCCTTCTTCTTCTTTTCCTTCTTCTTTTCTTTTCCTTCTTCTTTTCTTTTCCTTCTTCTTTTCTTTTCCTTCTTCTTTTCTTTTCCTTCTTCTTTTCCTTTTCTCTTCTTTTCCTTTTCTCTTCTTTTCCTTTTCTCTTCTTTTCCTTTTCTCTTCTTTTCCTTTTCTCTTCTTTTCCTTTTCTCTTCTTTTCCTTTTCTCTTCTTTCTCTTCTTTTTCTTTTCTCTTCTTTTTCTTCTTTTTCTTTTCTCTTCTTTTTCTTCTTTTCCTTTTCTCTTTTTCTTCTTTTCCTTTCTCTTCTTTTCTTCTTTTCCTTTTCTCTTTTTTTTTTCTTTTCCTTTTTCTCTTTTTTTTCTTCTTTTCCTTTTCTCTTCTTTTCTTCTTTCCTTTTTCTTCTTTTCTTCTTTTCTTTTCTCTTTTTTCTTTTCCTTTTCTCTTCTTTTCTTCTTTTCCTTTTCTCTTCTTTTCTTCTTTTCCTTTTCTCTTCTTTTTTCTTTTCCTTTTCTTCTTTTCTTCTTTCCTTTTTCTTCTTTTTCTTTTTTCTTTTCTCTTTTCTTCTTTTCCTTTTCTCTTCTTTTCTTCTTTTCCTTTTCTCTTCTTTTTCTTCTTTTCCTTTTCTCTTCTTTTTCTTCTTTTCCTTTTCTCTTCTTTTTCTTCTTTTCCTTTTCTCTTCTTTTTCTTCTTTTCCTTTTCTCTTCTTTTTCTTCTTTTCCTTTTCTCTTCTTTTTCTTCTTTTCCTTTTCTCTTCTTTTTCTTTCCTTTTCTCTTTTTCTTTTTCTTTTTCTTTTCTTTTCTTTTTTCTTCTTTTCCTTTTCTTTTCTTTTTCTTCTTTTCCTTTTCTCTTCTTTTTCTTTCCTTTTCTCTTCTTTTTTTTCTTTTCCTTTTCTCTTCTTTTTTCTTTTCTTTTTCTTTTTTTTCTTCTTTTCTTTTTCTTTTCTTTTCTTTCTCTTTTTTTTCTTTTCTTTTTTTCTTTTTTCTTTTTCTTCTTTTCTTTCTTTTTTCTTCTTTTTCTTCTTTTCCTTTCCTCTTTTCTTGTTTTTCTTTTTCTTCTTCTTTTTCTTTCCCCCTCTTCTTTTCTTCTTTTCCTTCTTCTTCTTTTCTTTCCTCTCTTCTTTTCTTCTTTCTTTTTCTTTTCTTCTTTCCTTTTCTCTTTTCTTTTTCCTTTTTCTTCTTTTCTTCTTTCCTTCCCTCTCTTTTCTTTCTTTTCTTCTTCTTCTTCTTTTCTCTCCTCTCTTGTCTTTCCTTCTTCTTTTTCTTTTCTTCTTTTCTTTTCTCTTTCTTTTCTTTTTCTTTTCTTTTTCTTTTCTTTTCTTTTCTTTTTCTTTTTCTTTCCTCCCCTCTCTTTCCTTCTTCTTCTTCTTCTTTCCTCCCCTCTCTTGTCTTTCCTTCTTCTTCTTCTTCTTTTCCTCCCCTCTCTTGTTTCCTTCTTCTTCTTCTTCTTTCCTCCCCTCTTTCCTTCTTCTTCTTCTTCTTTTCCTCCCCTCTCTTTCTTCTTCTTCTTCTTTCCTCTCTTGTCTTTCCTTCTTCTTCTTCTTCTTTCCTCCCCTCTCTTGTCTTTCCTTCTTCTTCTTCTTCTTTCCTCCCCTCTCTTTCCTTCTTCTTCTTCTTCTTTCCTCCCCTCTCTTGTCTTTCCTTCTTCTTCTTCTTCTTTCCTCCCCTCTCTTGTCTTCCCTCAATTTTTCTCTTTGCCCCTCTTTTTCTCTCCTCTCTTTTTTGTCTCTCTCTTCTATTCACTCTTCCTCTCTTCTTTTCTTTCTCCCTCTCTCACCTATCCTCCTTTCTATTTTAATCATTAATATTCTCCGGTCCTCCTCCGCTTCTCTTCTTCATAGCTATTCTTGTCGTTCCTCTTCTAAATAAGATTCTTGCAAGTACTCACCCCCAATTCAATATAAACCAATCATTCTTCTACTCACAAATTTTGCTCGCTTCTATTTCCCGCCATTTCTCTCCGCCTTCGTTCACTCCCACAAGCTCCTCAACAAAGAATTTCCCCTCTTTCTCTAACTCCTACTACATCACTTTTTCTTCCTCATTCCTCTTTTCTCCTTTTCTATATATGCATATGAAGAGGTAACCATCACAATTACCCGTCCCAACCGCCATCACGTCCCCCCCACCTTATGATTCTTATACACAAAGTCACATGGAACGAAACGTGACTCGTTCTAGTTTTGTATGTTGTTATATCCGTGAACTGCCAGCGAATTCCGCTCCACAAGGATTGACGGCGTCGGTGGAACAGCTTATCGGAATCGATCTATATCGATCCAGATCAAGACGATGCTCATATCGATAAGCTTTTTTTTTCATTATGATGATGATCTACATTTATATATGTGGGTCGAGTCGACGAGAACTGACAGATGGGAGGAAGACACCGAACGTTATTTTGTTTAATACGTATATGCATATTTGTCCTATACTCTTTTCTTATCCTTTACAGGCTTACAGCTTTCCACGAATTTTTTTCAATTTATTTTCACACGACACTTTTTTGTTCTTCATTCCTCCTTGTTTATCTTCATTCGTCTTAAACTCTACTGTCTCTCTGACAATGAAACTTTTTTTTATTTTATTCCTTCTGCTTTTTTTATTGACATTAAATTCATCTACCTATAAAGTCTAGTCTGTTCATAGCTATCACTTTTTTCTATCTAAGTCTGTCGGTGTCTGTTGATATCTATCGGTGTCTATTCATATCTATTCAAACAATACTTTTCCTTTTTAAATTTACATTTATACATAGATAAATGTTGCTAAGATTTAACGACAAAAACAACCCTAAATATTTTTCTTAAGAGGCTAAAGCTTTCATTAGATATTTTAAAATTATCCTTATATGCTATTTTTTTTATTTGAATGTTCCCTCATTTGTTTCTATCTCCTGTTTCGAGGTGGAAAAAAACTTTTAAAGTTTATATTAAATTTTGAAATCTGCGACATCGAAAAATTCCGAGTTTATAAATGGAAGAACGTATACACTTTTTTTTTTTCCAAATATCGCATCTGCACACGTCATATCCTTTTCCGATGTCTTGTTTTTTGTGTTAGTTAGTGATATGTGATTCAATTGAATTAATATCGCTTAAATGGCAAGTTAACCAGCACTATAACGTAGTAGTTATGTAACCAATGTATGTGCTGGTCGCTAGAGTAATAATTCATTCTCCGAATGGGCAATATTAGTTTATTGAAATTATGTCTCATTATTGCCAAACTATTCGTATTTGCAGCAAGTCCACTTCTCTCTTGAGCCTTGTTAATGTGGTCTTATACAGGGATATCGTTAATCCTGAGAACAGATTTTAGCGATGGTAAACAAGTTAGTCTCATGGCCATTACTGCGGAAGTTAGTTTGATATTCATTAGTGCCCTGCAGTAGACTAAGCTAAGCTTAATGAATAATCTCACCTTGAAAGAGTAGTTAGTAATGTAGTCTCGTATCTATTATTACTATAGTAGATTTGATCCTCACTGGATGCTCCATACTTGTGGCCTTGATTAAACTTTCCTATTTTTTTAATGTTTATGTCCCTTCGAGAAGTAGGTGATCATGATTGTCTTAAGAGTTAAGGCTTTCATTAGATATGTTTTTTAAATTATCCCTTTATTCTTTTTTTTTTTTTTTTTTTATTTGAATGTTTCATCACTTGCTTCTATCTCTTGGTTCGAGGCGGAAAAAATAAGTTTATATTGACTATTGTAATCTGCCACCTTGTAAAATTTAGAATTTATAAGTGAAAACACGTATACTTAGAATTCACACACACACATACATATATATATATATATATATATATGTGAGAGAGATAACATTGAAGTTCATTAAAGGAAGAAACGTGTTGGTAAGAAAAAGTTCTCCTTTTGTCTTTATATATAGTCTATTTTACTTTTTGAGGTATGCTATATTTATATAAGTAAAGTGAGGCATCGAATGCTTGTAAATATCAGCTTTATAGGCATAAATATCAAAACAGGATGGCAACAGCCTCTTTCACGCTTCAATGCAATCGTCACGCCCTGTAGTTGGAAAAGTGCCTGGGCTGGTTTATTGTTATTCTAATGACTATTGAATCGGGCAAATAGCCGAGAAATGGTGATTTCCTTATTGTTCTTTCCTGACAGCTACAATATCGGATTTTATTAACTATCTAGGTCATTTGATGATGGCTCGTAAGTTACTTACTCTGATATTTTTATTCATTTTATTTTATTTATCTCAAATTTATTTATGAATGATTTGTGTATAAACAGAATTCGACGGGTAAATTGTAATTATATTGTAATTTTGTGCATGCGCGTTTTTAATTTTTGTCGACTGCATAGTATAGTAGGGTCAGTTGGGCACCGTCTTTGAGAAAAAAAGAGCACCATGGCGCTATTCGCTCGGCCAGAAATTTGGAAACGGCTTGATGTAGTTTGGCTATCGCGCCGGAAGCTCAAATACGAACATTTCAGAGAGTTTGGGTGTCAATCTGAGAACAGTGCAGGTGATTCGAAAAGAGTTGGATAGGGCTAATGGTGAATACGAAGATACAGCAGCTTGTAAAACTCACTCAGAGCGTTCTAATAAGAAGTCCTGAATTTGCTGGTAATGGCCTCAGACTCAACAAAGAGGCCTATATAAAGTGCCTTGAGGCGGTACTGCTACCTTGAGTCAAGAGAGTGGCTGCTGGAAAAACTTATGCCTGGCAACAGTACTCTGCACCATGCCACACAAGCAGGAGAACCCATTCACGGCTGTCTGAAAATTTCTGCGACCACATCACCCTTTATATCTGGTCACCTAACTCCCCAGACTGTAACGCCATTGATTGTGTGTGGGGCGCAGTTGAGCGAAATACCAATCTCCTTGTAACACCAAAGATAAACTGAAAACAAGGATTATGGCAGCATTCACTAACTTGCACAAGGAGTCCGTGCAGAAGAAATGCAAGATATTCCGAAGTCGTCCAAATGTCGTGGTTGAAGCCAATGGAGACTTTATTGAATAAATTAACTGTTTAATATTCCATGATATTTTTGCATAATTTTGGTAAAGAGATATTATTTTCATTTTTGAATAATTCAGACGACGATTTATCCATCGCACCCTGTATATCCATTTGTAATATTAATCTTATATTCCATTTGTATTTCCTTTTTTGTTAGCTTATTTTTTTTCTTTAAAATTTATTGTGTACACTATTGTCATCTGCATTTTATTTAAATCATATTTGGTTATTTTCTTTTTAAAATGGTTTACAAGATATTAGGTTTTTATTTTTCAAGACAATTTTTTTCTACGCCATTTTAAAACTTGAAAGTGTTTGAAAGTAGAGATTGAAATCAGTTTAAAAGAGGTTTTATCCTAGGAAATTTCACACGTGTCTGCTGAACAATTTGAATAAAAACAGGAAAGAATTAAACTTCATTTTTTCTGGTTTCTTTAACGTGTGTTTACTGATGGGAGAATATTTATCAGGGTTCATTCTAAGTATTTTCTACGTAATAAATTATGTTCTTTTCTTACTTCGGAAGTATTCATTAAACCAAATTTATGGAAATAAAACACGTCATAACTTCGACAAATGCCACACTAGTATGAAAAGAATAGAATTTATTACGTAAAAAAAGTTAGAAGGGATCCTGACAAATATTTCCCATTGATAATTCCAAATGAAGTACCCTCTTTATTAAGGTCCCAATCTCTGTTATTCGTGTAAATCTACAACGAAGCCTCTGTTGTAATGTTGTCTAGGTTCAAAATAGCTGAGAATTGGAAAGGCTGTATTTAGATTATTGAAGGAACAGACAACTAGGTAAGAAAGACAAAAGAGGTTTATTAAATACTCTTAAATAGAACAGCTTGAATAAATCCTCCTCAAATCATCTGTGAGGAAATTGTCCAGTGTTCACTGTCATATAAGAGGACTGATATCACATAGCAGTTCAGCACTTTTTCCTTTGTTTCTACCCGAATTTTCTGTTCCTTCATACTTCGTGCAAAGGCTTATGTCTACATCAAGTTGAAACACCGTGCGATCTCCGAAGTTAATCAACGTTGAACCTGATCATTACTACTAGATGGGTCACCCCTTGGGAATACTGGGTGCAGTAAGTTTGAATGTGCGGGTGGTGTAATGGATAATGACACGGAATTGTTAATCGGAGAGCCGAGTTCCAATTCACGTTTGGTTCTTTATATTCACTTACAGGCATATACCTTTGCGAAATATATGAATCTATCAACTATGGGTTAATTAGTAAGACTTGTATCCCTAAAACCATTATTATCTCCAAAAATTATTGTAATCTAAAAAGATTTTTTGGCTTTAAATAACCTACAAATGTGTGATAAGCCGTAGAAAATGAATCAATCAATCAATGAATCAACGTGCGAAATAACAATCAAATTTTTTAAAGGATGTAAAAAAAAAAAGAAGAAAAATGAAACAAATCAAATAAATACGAATGAAAAAGTAAAGACGATAGAAATCGTGAGAATTCAAAAGAAAAACGAAGAAAAGAATTCACAATTCAAATACATATGAAAAATAACAATTTAATGGTTGGTTGATTTTGTTTAGCGGCATATCAACCTCTATGGGTTATTTATTGCCGAAATCTACATATTCTGTAGAGAATTTTTTACTTTCAGGTTAAAGTTATGTTTTTTGGTTTGTTTTTCTTTGGTTTGGGGGTTTGTTTGTTTTGTTTTTTTTTTCGTTGTTTTTGTTTGTTTTTTTTGTTTTTTTTTTTTTTTTTTTTTTTTTTTTTTTCGTTGTTTTTTTTTTTTTTTTTTTC